CCACCACCACCACCACCACCACCACCACGGGACCCCTTGGGTAGGAACACTCTCTACCATGGGACCCCCACCCAGGTCCCCGCCCCCAGACCACACAAACTCATTGGGACAGTAAAGACCCCTCAGGGATTACACCCCCCTCCCCCAAACTATGGACCGTCACCCAGCTCCTCACCGAGGCCGCAGGGACCCTGACCAGGACTGAAAACTCCCCACCAGGACCCTCATGGACCCCCACCAGGACTCTCACGGGGACCCCTGAAACCATACACTGTGATATAGAGCACAGCTATGACACCCCACATCCCCGATCACACATCCCCTTACGCTTCTGCCCCAAACCCCCACCCAGACCCCCGCTGGGACCACGGACCTCCATCCAGAGTTGCCATCAAAACACACAGACCCCAACCCAGAGCCCCACGGGGACACCTACCAGACCCCTAGTGGTCCCGAAACTGGGCACCAGACCCCACAAGGACCTCAAAGCCTGCTGGGACCCCAGATCCCCACCCTCACCCCCCCCAATTCTAACACCCACTGGACTGCACACCAGCAGCGCTCACACACACCAGCAGGGACCCCCCAACCCCTCCCCAAGGCCCAGAACGGAGGCCGTCCAGGACGGCTGCCCCGGCTGGGACGCAGGGCGACACACTCCTTACCCCACAGCCCTCCAGAGCCGTAACCCCACCCCCACAGGAAGGAAACGCAGCGGGCCTCCCTGCAGAGGGAACGCCCAGCACGAGGGGGTGCCTCCCTGCATGCAGGCTGGGCTCTTCTGGGGAGGTCACCCGCGGTGGCCGGGCTCCAGGGGCGGAGCTGAGACGCTGGGACACAGACCTGCTGGTGCCACCTGAGCACGGTTGAGGAAGAGGACCTGGGAGCGTGTCCACCATGCCAGCGAGCGTTCCATGTATGCCCAGGCGCGCCCCGCGAGGACCGACAGGCGTGTCACACTAGCCCCCAACCCTCTCCCCACCCTACATGGATTCCCATAAGAGGCCCCCGTGTGTTGGATGGGAAGCCGTGTCCCCCAAGTGTCACAATCACAAGGACCCAGCAGCGGGCAGGCCACCAGACCTCCATGCCCCTCCCCGCTGGGACCAGTGGAATTTCTGGCCGGTCCGTACAAAAATGCAAATGGACAGGCGGGTTTTTCCATAGATGGCTGACAACGCCTGCTCGCCGGGAGGGGACAGACGGAACAGCCCCCTCCCCGTCTCCGCCTGCACCATCTCACACCCAGGTAAGGCCTCACAAGGTGAAAACCCAGGTGTCCACCCACTGGGGATGGCATGGCAGAGCCTGCCTGTAGGCTCACCCCAGCCGTGGGCAGAACCTGGATCCTTGCAGCTGCAGGGCCGAGGTCCCTGCTGGCTGGCGGGAGGGCACCCCTTGCTTAGCTCCTGCGGGTGTTGGGAGCCGGCTGCACCTCAGTATCTGACATGCCTATCACACTGCTATTGGGACAAATCCTGAAGCTCTGGCTGAGAAACAGATGCTGCTTTAATGTTTTGAAAAATTTAAATTCCCCTTTGGATGCCCCCAGTAGGATAAAGATCTGACACCCCTTCTTATATTGATTGTTTTATTTTCTTTAAATAAGTGAGTTTTGGACATATTACGATAATTCTGTTTTACTGTTAGTTTCTTAATGATAGATTCTTAGTGATAGACAAGTTATGCACCTTATAATTCTTGAAGAGCCTGTTTAGCCAGTAGTGTTTGAAATAGTTGCTAAGTAGTAAACATCCTTTAAGTGCCAAGGCAGGAACTCAGCTCTGGCCATTAGTGGAAGAAATTGATACATAGTTAGGATAAGTTAGTCATTAGTGAAGAACAGATCCGGCTGTACCCTGCAAAAGAAACATCGTGAGGAAGTAAAATTCGGTGAAAAGCAAACTTCTAAAGAAAATGGACCCTGGGAAGGAAGGAACATTGAAACTATGTAGAAAACAATTTCCTAATGGGTAAAGGTTTAAACGTGGAAAAACAACTTTGGGAAAAACAGCTCAATGACGGAAATAGTTACCTGCCCAGTATAAAAAGGACAGGCTGTAAAAATAAAGTGAGACATTAATTCTTGAAAAGCGCTTCTCTGTCTCCGCGTTCTTTCCTCCCCGACTCCGTCTCCACCTAAGGGAACCCCTGCACTTGTGGGAGCCGGTCTCTCGCATGCGGGCCTCTCTCTGGTCCAGGCAGGTGTCCCCTGGATGCCACCCTTGCCCCTGCCAGTTCTGTAGCTGGCTGGCTGGTTCAGACTCAACACAAGGATTACCAAGGCAGAGTGGACATTTTGCAAGTGACCTTCGTTCAGAATCACCCGCCCTCCCGCCCCACAACGGTCACAGGTGAGAAAAGGATGCATGAACTATGAACGCTTAGCGAGAAGACGTCCCACCTGTGTTAGCAAGGAGAGGACCACCCCAGGCTCGCCTGGGAGCAGCGTCTCCCAGCTTCGGCACTTATAGGGGTTGCTAAGTCTTTGTGGGGGGTGCCTCCCTTGCACTGCGGGGTGTGTAGGGGGAACAGGGGTCCGGATGCTTGTGTGCAGGGCGGGAGGGCATCGCCCCACAGCTCTATCGTTGTTCTAAGTCCTAGCACATCCCGTCCAGATGGAGAACATCGCTCGCATGCCCAGGAGGGGTGTCAAGAATTCCCTTTGCCCGGAGACAGGTCTGGTCTTGGCCCTCAGGTCCTGGGAGGTCCCCGGTCTGAGCCGTTTGCTGTCGGGCCTGATAAGAGTGACTATGTTTACCTCGGGCTTTGGGACACGCCTAATCGTCTCCGCTACCCTGTGATTTAGGATTGGGGTTTGGGGGCACCCTGTCTCCGCTTGAGCTCCAGAGGGCCAGGAGATGGACACCAGCCGTCCAGCCAGTCCGCCATGCGTGTGGTTGTATCTCACCAGCCTGTGTGGTCTGTGGGCTCTCCAGGGAGGGGAAGCCAGGAGCTTGTCAACTGTTCACGGTGCCCGTGACTTCTGTCCTCAGCGCCTGCTTTCCTGGGGTTTCCCGCCCGGAATCTTAGCTCCAGCGTCGCGGTGAGTAGACGCTGCACCCACGTCTCCTTAGAACATGCCAGACCATGAGCCCGGCCGCGCGGTTTTGTTTCTTTGGCCTGTGGTCCTTTGTGCTGGAAGCTGCTGTGATGGCGTCGGAGGCCCCTGTGGGGGGTTCGCAGAATCACGCGTGTCCGTGAAATGTCTGCAGGACACCGGGAGAGCGTGACTGGGAAGCCCGTGTCGAAATCAGCCATCCAATTTTATTTTCTGCCGTTATCATGAACGGAGGGACAAAGACAGAGGTGCCGTGACAGTGTCCCTGGGTGATGCCTGTGCGTCCTTGTGTCTCCAAAGTGGGCTGTTTTGTAAGACCGAGGCCCGTCTTGGGGGTCTCCAACCCCCCCCCCCAATCAGAGCCTGCCACGTGCATTCATTTCAAATGTGCTTTAAGTACCTAACAGGGTGACTGCACGTTTTGGTCCTGGGCCCACTTTATTTTTTAAAGTCCTGGTTTTTATTTTAACCCTGGTGACGTTCACTAAGGACCGTCACTGGGGGTCACGCCTTGTCTTGTAGACCCAGCCGGACAACGTGTGGGCCCTTATGTATTGCTTTGAAAGAACTGGCATTGTTTGGTGGTGAACAGTGCGAATTCTTGGATTGAATGCCCCCCCACTTTCCTCCACAGAAGTCAGAAGCCACGGCTTACTGCTGGGTGTATCCCGGAGATAAAGGAAATATTGAAAGGAAGACATTTGGATGACATTCAGGACATCAAGGGTCATACGACGACAGCTCTGATGGCCATTCCAGAAAAAGAGTTCCCAAATTGCTTTGAAGGGTGGACTAGGCACTGGCGTCGGTACATAGCTTCCCAAGGGGAGGACTTCGAAGGTGACTGCAGTGACATTCAGCAATGAGGTACGTGGCCCTTTTTCTAGGGTGAGTTTGCAAACTTAATTGTCAGACCTCGTATCTATTATGCTGCATGCATTTAGGCGTATGGCCTTCCCATGGTAACGCACGTGTTAGGTATATGCTATTATGACACATGGTGTGACATTATACTGCATATTGTAGCGTGTCATTTATATAACACTAGATGGATGACGTCATGCAACGAT